ATATATATATATATATTTAGATGTACCTAAAAAATAAAATATTTGTGGCAAAATATTAAAAAAAATTAATAAATACACAAGAAAACAAAAAATGTACTGAATTGTTTTATTTTTTTGTAATTAGTAAATTTTTTAAAGATTTATTTCACAAATATTATAGTATCTAGATTAAGCGTATTTAAAATGCAACAAATTTACATAAAGTATTAAAAAAATTCACTAAAAACAAAAAAAATATGAAAAACAAAAAACTTTAGTCTAAAATAAACAAGGTGATCATTGTATTTGGGAACATTGTTTCTGGATCTGGAAGGTCACATACCGCAATGCATGGAGCAAACACATAAGGAATGTGACCTGGTAGCCCTAACTTCGAGGGCAGTTGCAGCACCAATTCTCCTCACAAGGTTTGGATCCCTGCAACATGACAAGTCTATCATCCAAGTAATTTTAACAGACTATTACATATCAGAATCTTTTTCTAAATAGCCCGCTACACTCCCTATTAGTGAGTTGCCTCTCTTTCTCTCCCTCCTACTCCCCTGGGATTCAGCAACTGACCACTTTAGTAGCCAGAGCCGCATCCCCGACACACTTGCTATATCCAGTAACACTTCATCCCACTATATCCTACCAACTATCCTGATATAAAAGCTGTGTTACATGGACTTGGACATGGGTGTGGGTGTGGGTGTGGGTGTGGGTGCAGGTGCGGGTGCATATCTAGAGATCAAATCTATCAAATCTCAAATTTAGAGGTACGCTCAACCAAAGAAGTTCATATTCTTATATTCTAAATCTATTATATGAAATAAAATAGTGTTATAGAAGTTTATTGCAATTATACAACAACATATACATATAATGATAGTGTTACATTCAAAAATACGTAACAAGTACCTGAAAAAAAAATATGAGATACATATCCCACATCATTGACCAAGTGTAGAGTGTCTAATTTGGGTATTTTATTTATTTTGAAGAGTTCATGTTTCATGGATATAAAGCCATTCTATAACAATTTAAGACAACAAGAAAGCAAGAAAACATTTGTGAGCGGTTTAGAAGTGTCACCAGGGAGTTGTGCTTTTTTCTGCTGCCTCAAGCTTCGTGAATGGGAGAGGGCGAGAGCTTAGCTTGCATGCTATTCTTTTGGTTAAGGTTCGCACAGCCCAGAAACACCACAATTTTGAGCACAACTATCTTATGCCCTTACACATGGCTAGTATGTTCCACATGATTAGTTAAATTGTTCTGTTTAATCTCGCTACATGTGTTTAAATACCTACAAATTAAAACTCAAATGCCCAATTGAGTGTTCGATGCAGATAACAAATGTAACAAATATATTTCCACACAAATATGCAGAAAATGAATCAAAATCAACCTACTATAGATTCAAAACAATTAACAAATAAAAATGTACATAAACTAGATTAAGTACTAGCCTTGTTGCTCCAAGGCCAATGTTATGGGGGAAAATAGTAGCCTTATAGACATTGTTGTGCCCGTGCACGGCATCAATTCCATAAATCATGGGAATTCCAAGTCTGCTCGAGAGAGAACCGTTCTGAAACGCATTCACCATGTTAATCCAGTCCTCGGCAGTGGCCTGTGGGCGAGGAATGCTTCCTCCACCGCTTAGTAAACTACCAATTGAGTAATCCCTCATGATCTCAGGGGTGGCATTGACCCTTTCAAGCTGCATCATCTGACCAATCTTCTCGGGCAGAGTCATCCGATTCATGAGGTCACGGATTCGAATATTAATGGGCTGTTTGGGGTCTTTGTATTTCATGTATTCTGGTTCAGCCATGGCGGTCCATAGGCATAACAAGACTAGGAGTCCCAATTGGGGAACAAATGAGACCTTTGGGATCATTTGCTATCCACAAACTTGTTTCACTTTCTGTAAACAAAATTGAAAAAAACACAAAATCAAGATTCATATCGATCAATTGGATTTGGGGGTTGGGGTGTGATTGAGTGAGAGAGTGTCATAACAGAATTCAATTAATTTTCATTTTCTTTGTTAACCCAATAAAAATAAATAAAAAAAACAAAAAAACTGATCTGAATAAAGATGAAAAGAAGTAATTTTGATGAAGAAAAAAAGCAAAAACACATACATACAGAGAGTAAGAGAGAGAGGGAAAGCATCATAAATAAGTGTTAACAGATAAAATCAAAAGTGATTTTGATGAAAAAAGTGATACAGAGAAGATGCATTGATGGGTACAACAAGAAACGTATAGAACAAATACAAAAAACCCAAGAGATTAATGTACATGCTACACATGTCTAAACAATTGGAACATGAACATAAGGTTAAACAGATATAAAATCATCAAACAACAAGACAAGAAAACAAATATATATAAAATGAAACAAAAAAAAAAAGGGTTTAAAACCCATTTCAGAAAACGAGTTGTGCTGAAAATGAAGATACATAGGCACACATATAAACAAACAAAATGTACACAAAAAAAAAAAAAAAAAAAAACAATATGGACATTGCAGGACAAAGTAACAAGAATTGTCCAAGCACCTGTGATTAACAAGGATGAAAACTTGAAGAAGAGAGAGAAAGACACATGTGAGTGAGTGTGTGTGTATATATATATATATATAGAGAGAGAGAGAGAGAGAGAGAGAGAGAGAGAGATGAGATCCGAAAGAAAATTTGTGCGAAATTGAATGCTTGGTTTTTGGTAAGGCATACGGTTCGCTTTCAAGTAATGAAATTCTTGGAAGCCAAACACCGACTATTCTTTCCCACATCATTTGTATTCTTGGCAATCGATATATTTTTATAAATCATATCACCTCTTTATTATGTTTTATATTTTTTCGTAAAAAATTAAATATATATATTTATTTAATTTATTTTAAATACCATCTTAGTTTAATATAATATAATTAATTAATTAAAAAGTCAAATTATCATTTGACTATTATTGTAGAGATCACAAATAAATAAAAAAAAAATTAGATATTTAAATTTGTACAAAAATATTTGACTATGGGTAAATATTTGAATATGGGTACACTTTCAAATAGTGTTTAATTTAGTTTTTGAAGTTTTTTTTATGATATTTTTTGTGTTTTTTTTTAGTGAGATTTTCTTTATATTTTAATTTTTTTTTTATTTTTTAAATGCATCTAGACTATATATTAAAAAGTAAAATATTTGTAAAAAAATATATTTATTTTACTAAATACAATTAAAATGATTAGATACAAAAAAAATAGAACAATCTAAAATGATTAGATACAAAAAAAGAAGAACAATCTCATTTTATTTTTATTTTTTTTGTATTTAGTAAAAAAAAATTTAATTTCTTAAAAAACATGCTACTTTTTAAGTGCATCTACATTAAATAAATCTAAAATGAAAATTCTTTGATTAAAATATTTTAAAAAAATATTAAAGATAAAAAAATATGAAAAATAAAAAAATCAAAATAAAGTTTAAAAACTAAACCAAACGAGAAAAATTGAAATTCTAAATACAATTTGATTTTTTTTTTGAAACAAACATTATGAAATAATATTCCTTAATTTTTGGAAATATAAAAAAATTAGTGAGAATTTAATATAAGACATTAATACATATTTTTGAAAACACCAAAAAGGCAAACCATGTTGGGAGAATTTTAATTTCAAAATTTTCACATTCTTTGAATGATATGTGCCCTCATGTTCTAGGTGCATCCATGTAAATACAAATTGCATGAATTTACTCCCTTTTTAATATTCCTTTATTTATTTATTACTATTCATGTTAATCGTTTTCAAATTGAATGGTAGATTTTTTAAGTTTCATTTAAAAATTTAATAATTTTAGAAATGTATTTAAATTTGATTTTTTTAATTTATTTTTCAAACCGATCACAAAGTAATTTTAATTGAGTCAAACTTAAAATAATTTAATTTTTTATAATACATAAATTTATTGAGTCAAGTAATATATTATTCAAAATTGATTTCAAAATATATTGAGTTTTAAAATATATTTAAGTCAATCTCAAATAAATTTTTAATTAAGAAAAAATAAAATCAATTCAAATAATTTTCTTCATTTTTGCAAGCTTGTGGCTAAGAACTTTAAAAGACAAATATGACCAATGGATTTTTTCCCCTCTCTATATTTCACAATAGATTTTGAATTTTCATGGATCATGGCCTGGCAATATACTACTTGAGTTCTTGGCGATACCAATTATCTTGCTCGCCAAATTGCCACTAAGTGGTGGAAAAATTACAAGATTACATCCGAACAATACCCTGATCAATTACTTTCCTTTTACAAAAACTGCAAGAAAAAATCTACTATTAATACAGCTCCTTCAATAATGTCTTCCAGTCCAAAGTCCAATAAGTCTTTTGACTATAATGCTTCTAAATCTGAAATAAAGCAAAAATTAAAGGAGAAATATCCCTCAATTTCCAAATCTGAATTTGAACACAAATATAAAAAGGCCATTAAAATGAAAATGATTCTCATGGTAGATATGGAGTCCCTTCTGACTCAGATGAAGACATTGTACTGGAAACTCTCTCTCCAATTCTCACCAAGGCCAAGCCACCGACAATTTCATCACCAAAAATATCTTCTCTCATTAATTCAACAACATCATCCCCAAGGATTCCTACCCAATACCTTGACGATGACTACTCAGACACATGTCAAAGCATGGATCTTAATAATTTGTAGATCATGTGACTTCTACAATATCGGTACAATAATTTCAATAAAGAAGATTCCAAGGACAAGACAACTGACCAAGAACAAAGCAAGCCAACTCATAAAGTGGATTCTCCACTACAAAAGAAATCCAATAATGCTTCCAAGGACAATAATACTCTCTCCATCGACAAAGCAATCCAATCTCCACCGACAAAGCAATCCAATAATGATCAAAGGACAAAGAAAAGCAGATTATTCATTTCAAACCTGGACTTCTACATCTATAAAAGCCAGCCATTCTTCAGAAGAGGGCACGCTTTCTCAATATCAAAGACTATTGTGTAATATAATAGTGTGACTATAGGGTGAATTTGAGTGTGAGTGTGTTTAGAATTTGAGTGAGCTTACTATGTGTCTGTGAATGCTGTGTCCAATTTGTTTCCACAATTGTGACCCATTGTAAGTTTGTAAGTTTTCTTTTCCTTTGTATTCTGGTTTCTTATTCTAATATAATTATTTCTTGTTATGCTTTTAATTTTTGATTTGCTTCAAGAAATTAATGATAATATTCAATATATTTCCAATTTAGAAGAAGAATTATCCAATTTAAGATTATTATTATCTCTTGCATCTGGTTAATCAATTATTAATTATTGTCAATGAATTGTTACAATCAAAAGAAAAATTAAAGATGAACAAGCTTGTTTAAACAGACTTCGATTGCAATTACAACTTTAATCTATATCTAGTCTGTATCACTTAGATTAATAATACCCGGGCTTCATTTTGGTATCAGAGCCAAGCTAATTTTAGAGTTGGTTTAATTTCTTTCCTTGTAACTGGCATAGCACCCAAGTCGCAAAAGTCTGTAAGCCGTGAGGTTGTTAGGCAAGAGGCCGTCATTGACCATTTTAGCTTAGGCAAAACCACATGTTGACAGCTATAGTTATTAAGTCAAGAATTTTTAAATCATTCTCTAATTTGATTTCTGGTGAAGGCTCCTCTACGAAACCAGTTATTATAAATTAAAGTGACTTAGAAATAGAGAAGATTAAAGAACGTCTCAAAAACTGAAAGTTACCTACCACAGATATTGACTGCTTATATGATAAAAAATTTGAACTTAAACAAACCTATAAAATCAAAACAGTTGAACAAATTTTACCTGTCACCCAAGACAATCAAAAATTTTAATTATTAGATCGTGACATAATTCTTAAATTTTAGAAAAAAATGAATTTCTTACCTCTTGGTCTTGTCTAGGTTGGTGTCAAACCCATGACACGCCTACATCTTAACAAATCTGTACTATGTACCCTCCGAGATATAAGACACCATGATTACGATGATTCATTACTAGGTGTTGCTAATCTATGGACCTATTTACTTTGAATGTTTTCCAAATTTTGAAGTCTCTTTAATTGATCTTACTATCCTCAAAACTCTTGCTCTTAATATCCAAACCAAACGTTACAAGATGGATTCTCCTTCTTTTAATATTATGGTATGTTACTGTGTTTATCTTAAAGCAACGACTACTTTATGTCATGGATTCAAATATATAGCTCTAAATCCCAACAATCAATCATTTTATTCCATGCTCATCAAGAAAATTCTGAGGTTATGGTTCCTCAAGTCATTACTTAACAAGAAGTTTTACAAGTCGATGCAGAAAATGGTGATGACACATGGGTTATTCCCAATGCTGTCCTAACCCTCATCTCTTAACCTAAAACAAATCCAAATTCTATACTCCAGAATCCAGATGGATCAGTTGTTATTCGTTTCCAACGATCCAGATCTGTCCGTACTCAATCTCATGCATCCTTATAACCATCTTTTACATTATATCATACTTCGGTTCAAACCCCTCAACATCTTGCTTGTCATTTAATAAACTTACTATTACATTCAACCCAAAGACAACCAAATCAAGTCCCTCACATAAATTATGCTGATTTTAGTTGCTTTCAAGATATTGACTTTGACATCAATCCTCTCTCAATTGATGTTATCCAAAACAATTTTACAATTAATCATGTTTTACTTTCCCAAGAATATAATGCTCCTTATAATTCTAGAAACAAAATTTATTTTAAACAAATCCATTCTATTGAACAACAAGAACTTATTAGATCTGAATATTTTCTTACTTTACAACAATCACAACAACATATACCTTTTTTCCATTGGTATTTTAATAGTGCCTTAATATCTCCTCTCCGCACATTTCAATGTCATACAAAAAAAATTGGTCTGTTCTTAGTGGTGAATCTATTCAATCCGTACATCTTCCCTGCAAAACTTACACTCTTTGAGGTGTTGGTTTCTCTTTTTATGCTAAACCATACAACCAACCACCTATGGAGGGAACCCAATCCTCCAAAACAACTCTATCTACAAGTTTTGACATAGGAAAAGTCTATGAACAATTAAACTATACCAATATACACCTTCAAACAATTGGTAAACAAACAACCCAGATAGAAAAACGAGTTGACAGGCTCTATCTTTCCATCCCTCTGGATCAAACTCGCCAACCCCCTCTTATAAAAAATTTGCCGTATCTTGCTTACTCTTTTACCAATCCCTCTGATGAATTCTTAGCTGAACTCAATAAAGAAAAGAAACCCTTACCAAAGTCCTTAATGATAATGAACCTATCCATTATCCCACTGTTGATATATCCACTCCTCCTAATCCATCCATTCCAAAAAGATAAGGCAAAGACCATGCCCCTTACAGTGGTACCATAAATGTCCTTCAAGATGATGATATACTACACAATTTATATGAACAATTCACAGCAAATACTCCTAATCAAATCCAAGAAACTTCTATTGTTGCTGCTTAACCAACAGTTCGTAATTATTACCATCGTCCAACTCCAATAGATCTACAATTAGAATAACGCCATTATGAGACTCCTTTCTCCTATTCCGGAAGTGACCTACGAGAATGGAATCTTGACGGCAAATCAAATTACCAAATTCTTAATCTTGGCCAACACATGGTAATGGCTACTAATGCAACCCTTGCCAAACGCCCTTCTAATGATAATGATAGTACCGTTGCCCGTATGTTCATTTCAAGATTTTCTGGCAAACTCAAAGGTTGGTGGGATAATTACCTTACCCAAGACCAACATCAGGCAATCTTAACTATCGTCAAAAGAGACCAAAATGATATTCCCATTATAGATCCCACAACAAGGCAACTTACTAGTGATGTAGTTACCACCCTTGTTACTGGTATCACACAACACTTCATTGGCAACACTCAAATAGTTCTTGAACGATCTAAAGAACTTTTTATCAATTTATGTTGCCCGACTTTAACTCATTTCCGATGGTATAAGGATATTTTTCTTTCTAAACTCTATCAAAGACATGATGCTAATGAAGACTTTTGGAAAGAACGGTTTATCGCCGGACTTCCTACACTCTTTGCCGAAAAAGTCAAAACCAGAATTCTTGCTAAACATAATGGACAAATCTCCTATAATCAATACACATTTGGTGAACTCATATATGAAATCTATGCTGAAGGTCTCTCATTATGCAATGATATTAAACTCAAAAATCAATTAAAGAAAGAAAGAACTACTAGCCGAACCGAAGTTGGTCAATTTTGTTACCAATTTGGTTACAATTCTATTCTTCCTCCTGTCTTCAGGTCTTCTTCCTGTCAGACCCCTATTCGCAAATCTCACAAATATTGTACCAAAAAATATTACAATAAATCTTCAAACTATAAAAGGAAACCTTATTACAAATTTACCAAGAGTACATCTATATCTCAATCTAAACCTAGTTCCTCTAAGAAAACTGCCAATTGCTGGAAATGTGGTAAACCTGGCCATTATGCAAATAAATGTCTTACTAGAAAGAAGATTCATGAACTTGATGCCTCCGACGAACTCAAAAGCCAATTAGAATTTATCCTCCTTCTTGACAAAGAACCCCAATCTGAATCAGAATACTCTTCTGATAATCCATCTAATATTGATCTCCAATTAAAGAAATTGATAATGATATTAATACCTCTTCTGATGAAAAACCCGAAGATCATCCAGAATCCTCTCATGATTGCCAATGCCAATCAACAATAGATTATTATAAAGCCATTTTAGAAATGAATGGTCATACTATTAATGTGCTCACGGCACAAGAAAAAATGATTCTTGAATTTATTGATAGTATAGATGATCTGAAGAAAAAACAACAAGCCATGTTTAAATATTCAAACTCAAAACACAGAAATGCTCCAATAACCCATACAACAAAAGAATTAAAATATGATACATATGATTTTAAAGATGTCCTTGATCGAGTCAACAAAGTCCCGACTCCCTTAAACAAACCCACAATTCAAGACTTTACAAAATGAAATTCGTAATTTTAAAATTGATATTCAAAATCTCCAATCTCGAGTCTTAGCTCTTGAAGAAAATCCTGCTAATAAAGATGATTTTCTTGCCGATACCGCATTTCCTTATGAACCACATCTCCAAGAATCATCCAACAACAACATAACAAAAAATCCCTTATTATTAATGATTCTGTCAACTTACTCCTTAACAACATAACATTTCAAAAATGGTATATTGAGATTAAAGTAGTAATTCATGATTTCATCTTAACAACAATGGCACTGGTGGATTCTGGTGCTGACCTCAATTGTTGTCACGACCCAAACATGCCCTTATAGGTTTAGCGTCGTAACCAGCCAGTAATCCTTGGATTACCAAATGCCTCTGAACAGATTATCACGTAATAAGGGGTTGCGGAAGCAATATAGAAACATACATAGTCCATAGAGCTGTGTAGACATACATGGAACAAAAATGTCAAAACTGAGACATATACATACATAAGTGACGTCAAACTTCCTTAAATCTTGCATTACTATACAGGTAGTATCATAAGGGACTTAGCCCAACGTACAGATAAACAAAAACAAAATAACAAAACATTATTGGCATGGTTTACAAAACTTGACTTTTCAAATTGGAACCTCCCCGGGAGGCACAGTGGCTGGCTGACCCAAAACTCTCCAGGTAGCAGCTTAGGCCTAGTCACACGCTTGCTCACCTACATACATAATATAAATAGTGAGCGAAAGCCTAGTGAATAATAACAGAGTAAAGGCTTAAATGAATAATGTCCCATATCAGATTTAGAAAACAGAAACAGATTCATATTCTTATATTTTTATTCAGAGTTTAGAAACATGTACTTGTTCAGTTTCATAGAGGATCATACGTGGTACACCCATTAGCGCTAACAGATCATGTATAGAGCATTAAAGGTCATACTTGACTAGTTCCATAAAGGAACCTCCGGTACTGGAAACTTATAACATGCTTAAGCCATAGTATTGTTACCCCCGGGCGAGAGCTATGAGACCATGGTATTATTACCCTCGGGCAAGGGCTTTGTGCTTATAGAGCATGGTATTGTTACCCTCGGGCTAGGGCCTTGTGCTAAGGATGCCACGAATACTTTTCAATAAATGGATAATCATTCATTGGTTCAGAACATAACATATAAGAAAACAGAGCATTTCTTGTCATATCATATCATATGAGAAATTACTTAAACGTAAACATAGCTTTACAAAGTTATTACTCACAGATGGCTCCAAAGCAGACAAATCAGAGCAGACGAATTAGATAACTTGTGGCACATGACCTACACAAACATAACAAACACACACATTGAAACACACACGCAGATAGTACTTAACTTATTTCATTTTGTTCTTAGTGTGTTTCTAAGTCTTTATTATGTCTTAATCTTGGCTTAGGAATGCCTAGGATACAATGAGGATGCTAAAATGCACTTAAAAATACTTAGTCAAATATGCTGAAAACAGGGGCCTCGCTCGAGCAGACGTTCAAAAATGTGAGAGGTCGCTCGAACGCAACTTCCTTTGCTCGAGCGGTCTGTAAACTCGACAAAAGTACTAGTTGTGTGAATTTTTCGCTTGGTAGTCGCTCGAGCGTAAGACTAGGGTCCTCGCTCGAGCACAGTTCTTGTCGCTCGAGCGGTCTGCACAAATAGTAAACTTCTAGGAGCATGCATTTTATGCTCGAGCCAACTTTTGGTCACTTGAGCAGAAGTGATAAAATAAAGGTGGTCACTCGAGCGCAAGATCTGTCGCTCGAGTGGAGTCGCAGAATTCTAGAATTTCCAAATTGTTATGCAAGATGCAAACCATGAGTTTAAAGTTTCAAACTTGCTCTTTTGGGCTAAAACCCTTAGGAAACATTTAAAACTCATGTATCATCATGACGCAAAGATCATTTCATAAAATCAAAGCCAAAAAGCAAGTCAATTCTTCAAAATTACACTTGACACTTATATGTATATAATATACATGCATGAACTTAAAATTCTTGCTTCCAAAACTTGTACCAATGACGCAATGAGAGAAGAATCTTGTTAAACTCTCAAAATTATGCAAGTATAGGCCCATGCATGTGGAGAGGAGATGGAATCCAACTCAAACTTCATGGATTTTGCATGCAATGCATGATTCATGCTCAAGTCTTTTATATAAGTTTACTTCTTGTATTTTTAATCTTCAAATTCTCTTGAATTCACATGTTATCTAACTCAATGTCATAAATCTAAAGATGAATTCTTACCTAGAAGCCTTAATTCCCTTGATTCCTAGCAAGTCTTGCTCAATACCACCAATTTCTTCAATTCCCCTAGCAATTCCTAGCTTGATCTCACTTCTCTTTTTCCTTCTCTCTCTTTCTCTCTCTCACGTTTGGTGACTCAAAAGATGAGGAATGGAAGTGCATGGTTAATTCTAGAGCTCACTTAGCCTTATATGGGTTCAATTAGCATTAGTTAATTAAGTTGAGTTAAGGCTAATCTATTGTTTTTATTTTATTCTAATTTAATCGTTGCGAATCGAATTTCCGTCAAACCTATCATAAAATTCTAAAATTTCCAAATAACACATAAATCAAATCAGTCCCGTGATCGTATGCCGATAAGGCCTTCAGTTCACAGAATGAAACAGAAACACAAATAGATATTCCTATAGCAGACAGATATGAACACACATAATGCAATTAATTCAGAATTTTATCTTAATTACTTGTTAGACATATTTAATCATAGATTAAAGGCTAATCATAGGTTGGGATTGTTGCAATTGTATTCGAGAAGGTCTAGTACCTTTCAAATACTTCGAAAAAACTAATCAATCTCTTAGTACTGCCAATGGTGGCTCTATGGAAATTAATTACAAAATATCCCATGCACAAATTTGCAACCAATGTATATGTCTCAATACTGAATTCCTATTAGTTAAAAATGTGTCTCAATTAATTATCCTAGGTACCCCTTTCATAACTATGATTGCACCTTTTACTGTTACAAACGAAGGCATTTCCACTACCCTTATCAATCATGACATAGTTTTCAAATTTCTATTTCCCCCTCAAGAACATGAAATCAATACTCTCAAAACAAATCTTATTTACAAACAAAAACAAATTTGCTTATTACAAAAAGAAATTTCTTACAAAGTGATTGACAATGAACTACAACAACCTCATGTAAAATCTATTATTCAAAAAATACAAATTTTATTTGAAAAAGATTTATGTTCTGAACTACCTCATGCCTTTTGGCCACAAATAGCATATGGTTGATCTCCCATATGAAAAAGATTTCAATGAATGACAAATCCCTACCAAAGCTAGACCAATTCAAATGGATAAAAAATTAATGGAACATTGCAAACAGGAAATCAATGGCCTTCTCAATAAAAAAATAATCCATCCCACTAAATCTCCTTGGTCTTGCCCTGCTTTCTACGTCAACAAAAATGCTGAATTAGAGCAAGGCACACCTAGACTAGTTATCAATTATAAACCACTTAACAAAGTTTTACAATGGATTAGATATCTAATTCCCAATAAAAAAGATTTATTAAACTGCTTTTATGAAGCCAAAATATTTTCAAAGTTTGATATGAAATCTGACTTTTGGCAAGTCTAAATCTCCGAGACTGTTCCGTTTGGCACTACGAGTGGAATGTAATGCCTTTTGGCCTAAAAAATGCTCTCTCTGAATTTCAAAATATTATGAATGATATTTTTAATCCCTATACTGCATTTACTTTTGTTTACATTGATGATGTCCTAATTAATTCCAATTTTGTTTCTCAACACAACAAGCATTTATATAAATTCTACAATATTATTAAAAATAATGGTTTAGTCCTTAGTGCTAAGAAAATGCAACTGTTTCAAACATCCATTCATTTTCTTGGTCACATAATTAACAAAGGCACTATCATCCCCATCCAAAGATCTATTGAATTTGCTGACAAATTTCCAGATGAAATTCGTGATAAAACCCAATTGCAAAGGTTTCTTGACAGTTTAAACTATATTTCAGAATTTTATAAAGATCTCCATAAAGATACAAAAATATTATATACTCGTCTCCGCAAAAATCCTTCTCCCAGGACCCATGAACACACTGTGGCTGTCCAAAGGATCAAACAACGTGCCAAATTCCTAACCTTATTATGCTTGCCAAATCCTACTGTTTACAAAATTGTGGAGATAGATGCTAGCAATATCGGTTATGGCGGCATTCTCAAACAATTATATAAAGGTAAAGAACAATTAGTTCGATTTACCTCTACAATATGGAAAGTACCACAAGTGCGATATTCTACTATTCAGAAAGAAATTTTGTTTATTGTTTCTTGTATCAAGAAATTTGAATCTGATTTATTAAATCAAGAATTTTTACTGCGTATTGATTTTAAAATTGAATATATTCGCTGTAAATCCAAATCTCTCCCTGACTTTCTTATTCGTGAATTTCTGCAGGGAACTCCAGACATTTCCAACTCAAGCTCCATGAAAAACAATTTAAATATCAACATATTTTCACCCACTACTGCTGTAGAAAAATCCGTGTTCAAGAAAATTTCTATTGGATGGCCTATCGACTCAATAATCCCTTACAAGCTACTTCCTCTAAGGGAAGACTAAATTCTAGGCAAACCTCTGCTAATCATGGGTATTATACTCATGATATTGATTATTCTATTACACCCAAAACTGCAGGCCATCAAACCTTCTTCCTCAAAAACCCCGACACTAAACTAGAAACCATCATCTCTCATTACTTCCCCAAGAATTGGCATTATCCTTAACATTCTAGGCAAGACTCTCGTATTTACTATGAAAAAATTCTTGAAAAGAACTTTAAAAGACAAATATGACCAATAGATTTTCTCTCTCTCTAATACTTGTAAACTTATGTGGAAAAAAAAGATGTATAAATTTATTCAGGAACATTTCTCGAAAAACCTACTTATTGTGAGGATTGATCAAAGTCATGTTGATCAACTAAAAAATATATTGGCTAGTTACACTCGACTCTATTGGGATTTAGAAAAAACATAATCTAATTTATATAGGTTAGTTAGTGATAAATCCAATCTAAAAAGAATATGAGGCATTAGGCCCAAATGACATTTTTTGTTGATGAGAGATTCACACTTTGTGAAATAGTTTAGTGAAAAGTCCTAGAGAATATTTTGTTTCCAATTTTACCCCTTGACTTCTTTTCATCTGTTTGACTTTTCGTTGACTATTTGTTCAAATTTATATATATCTTTTAAATTTTTTTATCTGTTCAAATTATTTTCAATCTGTTTAAATCTTTTGTCCATATGTTGAAATTTATATCTATCTGTTCAAATTTTTTGTCCATCTATTCAAAATTTCCCTATAAATTATATCTATTTATTCAATTTTTTCCCTAAATTCATTTTATCTATTCAATTTTTTTTTATCTATTCAAAATTTCCCCTAAATTATATATTTGTGTTTAATTTTTTTCCCTAAATTTATCTGTTCAAATTCTGTGAGTTTCTCTTTGTTCTTATCTATTGATTTGTTGTTATCTATTGAAACACTATCTGTTGAAAATCTGTCATATAACTTTTTTTTGTTTATCTATAGCAATCATCATCAACAACAACAATAACAATAGATCTTTCTCACTCTATCTGTATGAATAAAGAAAGAAAAAGAAGAGAGAGAGAGAGAAAGAGAGAGAGAGACAGAGAGAGAGAGAGAGAGAATAGTAGACCATCACCATAAACACCCAACAGATCTATCCATTTCAAACCAAAGAACAAAATATATATAAATATATATATATATGCATACTGCAACTGTGACGACCCCACCACGTATAATGATTAGCATTTAATTAATTAAGGAGATTTTGAATTTTAATTGCCAACTATTCTAATTTAATATGGGATTTATAAAAAAAATTATAGAGACTGATCCGTATATGATTCTATTGAGAAATTATTTTGGGATTAGAAATTGATAGCCTAAATGGCTTAAGAGATTATAATTGGTGAATTGAATCATTTTAATTTCGAGTATCGGACCGAATAGGAGTTTAATTGAATATTTGATTCAGATTTGTAAAACTGATTTGATTAATTGGGTCTGAATTGGAGTTAATTAAGTTATGAGAATTGGAAATTAAGATTATGATGAATTAAATTTATTTATGAGGCATTCAATTGAAGTATTCACTTGAGTATGTAATTTATTAGCGACGATTTTGACGTTTAATTTGAAATTGAAGACCTTAATGATTTAAGAAACCAAAATTGAGGATGAAAATAAATTTAATTCGATATTTGGAGCCTTTTGAGAGTTTGATTAAAAATCTGATTCAGATTGATAAATTTAAATATAATTAATTGGGCTCTAATGAAAGTCATTTAGACTAATTAAATTATGTGGGATTGGTGATTGGTTATGATTAATTTAATTATGTGATAATCAAGATTTAATTAGATTAAGTGTCGCTTAATTAAATCAATTTTAATCATAAATTGAATTATGGAATAATCTAAAAATTGAGGGTGTAAATAGGTGTGGGTGTACTGAGCAAATCTGTGTATGTGTGTGCATGTGAATGATGTGTTGGAATTTAAGGATGAGTGCACGTGTGTAGTGTAAAGAGTGGAGTGTGTGTTGTATTGATTTCATTAAGTGAAGTGGGTTCATTTACAAGAGAAATGGAAAGAGAGAAAGAGAGAGAGTTGAAGTCAAGAATGAAGAAGTATGTGAGTGTGTGTGTGTGTGCTGGAGAAGTCTGGAAGTTAAACAAAAAAAAAAAAGAGGACTAGAGTTCAAGTTCAAGAGGGAACCAAGAAAATAAAAGAGGAAAAACAACATTAAAAGGAAAGCTCAAGTTTTTGAAGAAACCCAAGAAGAATTAGAAGGGATTCAAATACATATTCTGAAATTAAAACTCAAGGTATGGTATTTATGTTTAATTTGTGTAGAATCTTTACATTACACTTGAAATTAGAGATGAAATTGGAATCAATGTCATGTAATAAAAGGAATTAGCAAGAAGATGGAGAAAATTGATAAACATATAAAATTAGTTAATTTTAATGTCAAAATTCATACATGCAAATGATTTTTTAAGGAGTTTACAACTTGATTTCATGTTTGAAGGAAAATGGAAAAGGGTTTGAAATCAATTTTATGTGATTAAAAAAAAGAAATTGACAAGAAAATGAAGAACTTGAGCTAAGATCAAGTTTATAAAATTTAATTAGAAATTAATTATTTTGGGTTTAATTTGGAAAGTTATTGTTAAATTAAGCTCCATAAATTACATGCAACAAAGATTTATTGAAGATTGATCATGACTCATAATTATTTTCATATTTTGATGAAATTTTGCATGAGTTTTGAACATGAAATTGGGTTTTAAAAGCTTAATTTATGTTTTAGAATTTATGAGTTTGAAATTGGGTTTGATATGAAGAAAATGAATTAAATCTAAAATTGGACAAATTAAGAAATAAATTATAATTTGAATTTGACAATCAAGAATTAGTTTGATCTTAATTTGAATTTAATATATGCTGATATTTTTCTAAAAGCCTTATAGCCTTAATTTCATATTTTGTAAGAAAAATGAAGAAAAGTTTTGAATCATTATATTCATGAAGTTATAGCTTTGATCTTGACAAATTAAGGAGGTTTTTGCAATAAGAATTGGAAATTAAAGAACGAATAGAAATAACCGAACGAACAAGTACCGAATGAACTGAATAGGTTTAAGAACCAACTGAATGAATCGAACATGTTTTGAGATATTATGCTTGAATGTGTTTGTGTAGGTTAGACACCACATTGTGATCACGTGTTTCAAAGAGCCAACTGTGAGTAACACTGTTGTAAAGATATGTCAAATCGTATTTATTTTCTGATTGATAAATTATATTGTTTTCTGAAATGATATTTTTTTTATCGATTGAATGATGATCCTATTTTCTGATCTGTATTCGTGGCATCCTTAGTATATTGTTATTGTTATTAATATTGTTATCGTTATTGTTACAGAGATCTTTGTCAGTTCCAATTCTTGAAACTATTGTCTATTGTTTGATGGCCATCAATTGATTGTTCGGTCTTTAAGACCTATTGTATTGTTGCTATTGGATGTACCACATATGACCTATACGAATATGATTGATTGAATTAAACGATTGAACGATTGATTGATAAAAAGATACTGATTGAAAATGTTCCATTGATAATTGATTGTTTCAAATACTGTAAGGATATCATTCTTAACCTCTTTACACAACTGTTATTCATTGGGCTTTAACTCACTGTTTACTATATATATGTAGGTGATCGAGCATCAAATCGAAGCTAGTGGCATCGACCCAAACTTTTATTTTGTCAAGCCAACCATTGTGCCTCACCGCGAGGTTTCGAAGTAACACGCACCTTGGCTTGGGTGTTTGAATTCAAGCTTTTGAATTATGATTATTAAACTATAAGTGTGTTTTGGTTTTCATACTGCTACTTTGATGACGGGATTAAGTTCCCTAAATTTGTACTGTATTTTTGTATACGCTTGGACTGAGGGCTTATGACTAATACATCTAGGCTATATGTATAAAAGTTTATTTTCATTCAGGTTCTCACAGCTCATTGGACGATGTATGTTATTATTGTTGGTTTCTGCCAGTCCCTTTATATTGTATTATTGTCATGATTGTTAAACAGGCTTTCAGTAATCACAGATTACTGGCCAGTTATGATGCTAAACCTATAGGGCGGGTTTGGATCATGACAGAGTGGTATCAGAGCACGAGTTAATATCTTACACACGAGTCCATTGAGCATTAGAATGTTTTGAACGGATTTAAGTTTCATGCATATAGTAAGTAAGTAAGAAGTTGTGCATTCAGAAATATGTATATATGCTTGTGTGTAATACATCTAAGTATTGAAACTAAGAATTAAGAGCTACTATGGAATTGTGATAATTATAAGGAAAGCAGGATGTGCTTACTACATATAAGGCTAAAGCCAAGAATTATTGTGGAATTCTAATGTTATAAGGAAATCAAAATTTTTGGCTTGAACATTGGTGAGTACAAGTATGTTGATTCGAGGAAACATGGTATTATGAGGAAATTAGAATATTTAATGGAAGCCATGAAAGCTATACGGGTTATATGTCAAATTAGACTATGAGAATATTTGAGAAATTGAGGAATTTGATGATTAATGAAATATGTGGAATTGTGGTAATTGAGAATAAGAAAATTATTTGATATGTGAGGTGGTATAATTTGTTGGGGAACCTATCATGTGAAATGTTAAACCGTAGAGTCTCATGCCGTTGTTGAATAACCTTGACAGTCCGATTGGAATCACGTTTGGCCAGCGTAGCTTCGAATTGAAAATTCTTGGTAAATTCCATAGGAATGAATAGGTTACCCTACCAGTGTCTTTATATGCCTATATGTGTATGGTTACTCGTATGTGATATGTGTTTTGTGTTATATTCTAAATCAGTTGATATTAACCCAAGTGTTATCAACCATTAACCCTTCTCTTCTATCATTAGGAAAAGAAGGTGAAAAGTAAACACAAAATGGAAGTTGAGACTTTGGCAGAACGATTAAACAAAGTAGAAGAAGTACTTGAAGGAGTAATGAAAGCTATGTAGCAATGCTATGACAAACCATAAGGCCAAAAGAAAAAGTTAAGTGTGAAGTCAAAGAAGGAACCAAAGGAAAAGCCTAAGAAATTTGTGATAGGAGAGTCAAGCAATTCTAAGCAAGGTAGTAAGTTTCGTTCATTATGTACAACATGTCACAAGCGACATTGGGGGTTGTGTCATCGACTTACTGGAGCATGTTTCAAGTGTGGGAAGATGGGCCATCTAGTAAAAGACTGTTCTAAAGCCTAGGAGAAGACTCAAATGATTTAATTGGTTAAAGTTTAGTACTTAACTATAAATTAGGAAATTAGTGGGAATGCTTTAAATGCATGTATAAAAATTTGAAGTCAAAAAAAAAAATATGTGTGACTTTATTTGAATTGGTCCTAATCTATATTTGATGAAATTAGAACCCATCTATTTGACTATTTGAAACTCAACCTGAGATTGCTAAAGATTATCAGAATATCGCATAGACTTCAGCTAAATAAAAGACTAAACGAATTAAGCTAATGAAAATTTTCTTGTTTAGTGTCCGAATAAGTCAGACTGAATTTACTGCAATCATATCGCTATGGACCATTTGAAAATATTGAAAGTGACAATTTTACGACATATTGAATTATGAATCTGAAGGGACCACCTTTTTTTCCCTCAAAAAAAAAAAAGTAAAGGAGAAGAGACAATGTTTAAGTTACTCCGACATAGTAATAGTCATACATCAACAATTAATAAAATTAGGAACCATTACTTGGACACTTAAGACTTGACCCGATATTGTCAAAATTAGAAGAATGTGAGCAAGACTTGATCAATTGATGAATATGGAAAAATAATTGGGATTTCTACTTAGTCTAACAAAGTTATATGCTTTTGGGAACTTGTTTGAATAGAAGGAAAATGGTACTCCACGTTAGGAGACTGAAACCTGTGAGAATTAGAAAAAAAAGACCCAATTTATTAAAATCATATCGTTATTGAACCTTCTGATAACGTTGAAAGAAACATTTTTAATTTACTTAAGCTACAAAGACAAAATATAAACTTTTAGAAAAGAAAACACAATAAGTCTCTATTTGAATAGTGATTAGAAATATCTTGTAGACAAATAATTAAATTTAGATCTTAAATTCGAAATTTGATAAACAAAATTCTATTGCAAGCTAAACAAAATTCTATCTATTGAAATGCAAAGTCAGCCCAACCCCTAGCTATTGCAATACCAAGCCCTTATCTGTTCAAATTTTGAACAAATCTACCATATTATTTGTTCAAATGTTCAAATTTTGAATAGATCTATCCTATTATTTGAGGTTTAACAATCCAGATCCAACAATAACAAATCCGTTTCAATGCTATTTACATATCTGTTTTATTAACAACAACAAAATTCATCATCAACAACAAAGTATAAGAAAGAGAGATGGAGAGAGATATTTTTAACAACTATAACAAGCCATTTCAAAAAAAACAAAACATGAACAGATAGTAAAATTCTAAAGTAGATTTAGAGATAATGGCAGTAGATCTGAGTATTACTAAACAAACGCAACTCTCATCACCAATCAAATATCCGAATCTGAATAATTAATAAGAGTTTTTAAACTTAAAAATATAAATTAAACACAATAATTTTTTTAGATCTAGATCAAGTTAACACATTTGATTAATTATTTTTGAAAAATGTCTCCGACTCTCACATAAAATGACCCCCACAACCCCCAGTTGAGCGGACAGGTACGTGATCGGTCACGTGACAGACATGGGCTACGCACCTCCTCTTTCTCTCTCCTAATTCAAAATTCAAAATACATTCAGATGAGATTATGGGGGTGTTTGGTGGGGCTTTTTTGAGCCAACTTATGGCTTCTGGCTTTTAAAAAGTTATTTTGGACTGTTTGGTTAAACTTATTTCAAACAGCTTCTGATTCTAACAACTTATTTTAAGTCAAAAAAGCTGATTCTAAGAAGCTGCTCACCCCTTGCTTCTGATTATCAGCTTTTGCTGTGGATATGTTAATTCACGGTTATACTCTTAAATTTTTTTATTTTTTATTTTTTTTAAAAATAGAAAAAGACTCAAATGGACTATAAAATATTATTATTATTTTTTATGAGAAATGTAGACAAATAGTGAATAATAAAAAATAAAAATTAATTGAAAAAGCTACTTCACAGCTTATTTAACAAACACTACTTAGCAACTTAAATCTATAATCCAACAGCTATACCAAACAGATTAATAGCTTCTGATTAAAGTCATAATTTATAATCTGTTAAGCTATAATCTATAATCTGTTTTAACAGCTACACCGAACAACACCGATATCTTCATCTCTATCACAAGAGAGAGCCTGACAGCTTTGCTCATCCCCTTCACTCGGACGACAGCTCATTGCCTTTACTTTGACAGTCGACTCCCTCAGTTCCTCCCCTTCACTCCGACGTCCTTCTCTTGACTTCGATGCCTAACTCCCGACTCTTTCTTTCTCTTTCCATCTCATTCGACGAAGGACGACTCATTCTCTTCATGCTGACGGCAGGTCCTCCCATTCAGTTCAACGTTCTACTTTGTCCCCCTGACTCCCGACTCTCTCTATTTCCATCCCATTGATGAAGGACAACTTAAGAGGTAATCTAGTAGATATATCTATATATATGTATCTAGTATATATATTGGCTGTAATATATATTAGGGCTTCGGATTTAGGGGTTTTTTTTTTTTGAACAAGGATTTTGATATTCTGATACATATTGTAAAATTCCTCAACCAAATGTTGGAATTAGGGCTTTTGACAATATTAGGGCAATCTGATGCATATTAGGGCTCCGAATTTAGGGCTTTTAACAAATCCAAACAGTGATAAACAATTTGACAAATCCAAACACTGATAAACAATTTGATAAATCCAAACACTGATAAACAATTTGATAAATCCAAACACTGATAAACAATTAGGGCTTTTGACAAATCCAAACACTAATAAACAATTTAAATGTTGGATTATGGCCTTTTGATTTAGGAATTGAGTATGGTAATTAGTTGTTGCCCTTTTGAATGTGGTAATTAGTTGAGTATGGTAATTAGTAGTTCGCCTTTTGAATTGAGTATGGGAATTGAGTATGGCCTTTTGAATGTTGGATTATTGTAGTACTGACAAATTTGTTGATTGTTTTGATTAGTTATGTTTTTTATGATTGTGTAGGGCTTCTTGTGCTTAATCCTTATCATTTTGATTCTCATATTGTCATCGGTGTTATTTACATCGTGATAATTTAAATTTAAACCCTGATTGTTATAGTTTAATGAGTATCGGATTTAGGGCTTTTAACAAATCCAAATATTGATAAACAATTTGGCAAATCCAAATACTGATAAACAATTTGAATGTTAGATTATAGCCTTTTGATTTGGGAATTGAGTATGGTAATTAGTTGTTGGCCTTTTGAATGTGGTAATTACTTCAGTATGGTAATTAGTTGTTGGCCTTTTGAATTGAGTATGGCCTTTTGAATGTTGGATTATTGTAGTACTGACAAATTTCCCTTGTTAGCTGTTTTGCTTATTTATGTTTTTTATGATTGTGTATGGTTGCTTGTGCTTAATCCTTAGTCATTTTGATTCTCATATTGTCATCGGTGTTATTTACATTGTGATAATTTAAATTCCAACCCTGATTGTTATAGTTTAATGACGATAACTTGTTTTTGCAGATGTCAAGTTCAACTGTCAATGGCAGTAGCTCAGATCGGTTGATGTACTTGAACAAAAATTGTCCTAGATGTAATAAAAAGGCCACTATTTGAATTTCTGAGACCGATCGAAACAAAGACAAGTTATTCTACTCTTGTAATGATTGTGGTAGTTTTATTGGATGGTGTGTGCCTATGAATTCACAATGTAAAGGTCATGAAATTCCGAGACAAGTAGAAGAAGAACTGCTAACTGGCGCCGAATAAC